ACCCTCCACGTCAAATGCAGCCTTATAATCTTCAAAACTAAGCTCATCTCTACGATGACATTTGAGAAAATTCTATACAATTATACACCATTGGAAAGAGCATTAAATTCTCTATTAGGCTGTGCAAAATTGGTTTTTATATCTTGTAGGGTTCCCAAGATATGGAGCTCCAAAGTTAAAATTTAGTTGAAATTTTGTCCAAAACTTCAAACTCGAATTTCTCAAAAACCACAAACACTAGCGTTTTCTATTAAATACCATCTTAAAGCCTGTATCAAGAACTATGACTAGTTAAAAGATTGTCCCAGTACCGCTTTTTGTTACCGAGATATCGCGGTTTGAAGATTTGGGAATGAAAATCCAAATGGGTACGTACCCCTTAAGAAAAAGTACGAAAAATTGAAAACTTTTAGTTTTTGATTTTTCTCAATTTTTGACCAATACAGCGAGTCTAAATTAGCCTGAAATAACTTTAACATCAGCTACATTTCGGAATTTTGATGAGAAAAAAAATCCAAAAGGAAATCTCATTTATGGTTCTGGAGATTTTTTGAAATCTTGACATGATTAATGACTCGTATCTTCCATAACATTTGAGAAAATTGTATATAATTACATATTACTGGAAAGAGTATTAAATTCTCTAAAAGCTTGAGTAAGATTGGCTTTTGTAGCTTGTAGAGTTCTCGAGATATTGAGCCTTAAAGTTAAAATTTGGTCGACATTATGTCCAAAACTTTAAACTCAATTTTCTCAAAAACTATACAGCTAAATACCATTTTGAAGCCCTTATCGAGAGCTATAATTCCTGAAGAATAATGAGAAGAGTAAATTATTTTCTATATCTTTCAATCACTGTAAGGGCATTCCACAGATTTCTTGATTCTATCTATTCCAGTAAATACATGTGAACAATTTACCAAAACTTTGTAGATGAAAACGCTCTTCTTGCTATGATCTGAAGCACTTTTGGGTTTGATGTTTTCCATAGTTCGTTGTAACATGCATTGGGGTCTAAGCACTAAAGGCTTTTCAAGAAACATCTCACTTGTGAAGTTCTGCACAAGAATAATCAAATCAATATCTTCTTCTACAGTTGTCCTCAAGCCCAAAAAAACTCATGGTAAAATGTTTGTTCATTTGAAATTTTCATAATATTTTATTGACTGTTTTAGTGATCGGTGAAACCTCTCACCTCTCTATGTGATAACTCTCAGGATTCTTACTATCACACTTTTTCGTGAAAATACACTTACAATGGACTATCGATAAGTCATCCTGAGGAGGATCAACAAGATTCACACTGAAACATTCCCAACGATCTGCATCTGGCTTCCGAGTGCTTGGTACTTTGGTACATCTTCTCAAGAGTCAACATCAGTGCACAAATATGTAACATAATCGGCGAAAACTTTTCAGATTTCCTGGGAAGTTGTATATCTGCATTGAATGAATTTGAATTACTCTCATCTTCAACAGATGTTTTGATCTCATCATCAGTAGTATTTTCAATTTTGTAACCTACATCCTCCACTGAATCACAGGAAATTCAGATTGAGGACTTGATAAAGAAAGTTCTACTGTCTTTTTCCATAATAATGACATCACTTCTTTCTTGTCTTCAGGATCGTAGAGCCTGTAACCTTTAACATCTAGTATCATCTTCTTTGACTTCTAGCCTAACTTCCTTCTATTTGCCTTGGGGATATGCACCATAATTTCGCTTTTTTCATCCGGTTTTTTGCCTGTTCACATTTCTTCTCACTCTGCTCTGGTGAGTATGGATTTGTCGTTTAATGTTAAATACCAAATCTTTTTAGAAAAGTCTCAAAAACTTGATTGCAGACCTCACCAGCTCCATCTAATCTTAGAGTTTCGTTTTTGCGGTTGGTTCGATTCTCAACATACTGCCTAAATTCTTTGAATTATTCTATAGCGACTATGGCCTATTGTTTCTAAAAAATAACTGCTAAAATCATCTCCAAACAGCATGAAGTACCTTGACCCACCACAAAGATCTACATGTACTACCTCTAAAATTGGATGTGTTTGGACTACTTTTAAAATGTAGTCGATACTGTATGTCTTGACAGCATACTTTGCATGCGTCAGATTTCTTGAGCTAGCTACTACAATTTAGTCCTGAATCTGCTCCACTTCACATTAATTTTAGGTCATTGTAATTCAAATGTGCGAATCTACTATGTAATATCTCACCTGATACAGCCAGCTTTGACACTTTCTTCTCAATAAAATTCCCGACAGCAAATACCGAGTCGTCATAGTTTTCGTGATCCAAAAGTCTTGGCACACTGTTTATGCCTTCCAAAATAAAAATTTTTCGAAAACCGAAACCAAAAAACACTATATTGGACCCATAACCTACTGTATATAATAATATGTTTTTATTTTCCAGGTCACACGACTGAGAAGAAGGGTAAGTTGCATGCTCCATATTTTGTGGGTTGGGAATATTGAGTTTTTGATATCTTCAAGATTCGTTAATAAAAATCAAAAGGGAGAATTTTCATAAAGTCTGTAGGCTTGTTCGAATGCGTGATCTGAAACTTTGGGTGCTGATTGGTTAGCATTAAAAAACAATGTGTAGTGCAAAGTGTTGGAGTTCCCTCCGCTAAACATTTGGCGCCCAACGTGGGGCCTGGGGTTACACTCCACTTGTAGGACACTACGGCGTCGACAAAACTTTGAAACGAATCCCACAAAGGTTTGACTGGCCGACGATGAGAAAATACATTACTGAACAAATCCGAAAATGCATAGAATGTCAGAGATACAAACCAACGAATCTTAAGCCTTCTGATTGGACTCAGACTCCTATTCTGGCTCAGCGATTTGAAACCTTAGCTATGGATTTATTTGGACCACTGCCTGAAGCAGAAATAGGTGAAAAGTGGGCTTTCGCTATAGAAGATACTGCCACCAAATAGATAGAGTTATTTGCACTGTTACAGCTGAAGCTTGTGCGAAATGCCTTATCGATAAAATTATTCTCAGATATGGAGCACCCAGAAAGGTCATCAGTGACAATAGCACGTAGTTTGTCGCAGATGCCACGCAACAAGTTGCTTACTGCCTCGGTTTTACAGTGTATGGTATTACCACGACCATAATTCGACTGGCAAAACATCCCGTTAAAACGGATCCCGATAGGATAGTGTGACAAGTAGAGTCCATCGGATCAAAACGCATCCGTTTTTGCCGCAGCGTTAAAAACGCATAGTGTGACACCGCACCGCAAACTTCCCCAAACGGTTTCATTTTTTGTTTATTCCCGGCTCTTGAAGTTCTGTTTTCTTCAAATTCTTTCAATTGAAGAGCCTGGAATAGATAAAATCAAGCCGTGCAAAATTGGTTTTAGTTTTTGTTTTCAGAGAAAGTCTGCACAGAGATTCACCTGGATACACCGGAATAAACCGAAACATATCGAAAATAATTTAGACAAGACTTAAGAAGATACAACATCGAAAAAAGAGGTCATAGAAGTCTTGATGACCCCAAGCGAGCGTGTATAATGTAGCGCTTGTCGTCCGCGTAAGACAAGGTGCGATATACATATCATGTTTATGTTTATCTGACGATGAATAAGCGTACCCTCCACGTCAAATGCAGCCTTATAACCTTTAAAACTAAGCTATTTTTTGGTCACGTAATCAGGTACACCGTTAGCTTCATCCACATTAACACAATATGCCTTCGCCCGAGTTTCATAGAACTCCTGACATACTGATTTTACATTTTACCTAAGATGGATTGATTTATAGGCAGACCATATGGGTTATTCTGCGAGTACAAAAACATCAAGGGCTACATTTACTGAAAATTTTGCCCCAATACTGTTTTTGGTTACCGAGATATCGATTTGCGAATGAAAATCCAAAAGTGCAAAAAATTGAAAATTTTTATTTTTGAGTTTTTCTCAATTTTGACTGTATAATTCGATAGAGCGAGCTCAAATTACCCAGAAACAACTTTAACATCGTTTGCATTTGAAAATTTCGATGAGAAAAAAAAAATCCAAAAGGAAATCTCGTTTTTGGCTCAAGAATTCTTTTAAAATTCTGACTCGGTCATGATTAACTGCTCATCTTTTCGATGACATTTAAGAAAATGTTATATAATTATACATCATTGGAAAGAGCATTAACTTCTCTATTAGGCCGTGCAAGATTGGTTTCTATACCTCGTAGAGTTTCCGAGATATTGACCCCCAAAGTTAAAGTTTAGTCGAAATTTTGTCCAAAACTTCAAACTCGATTTTCTCATAAACTATAAACGCTAGCAAGTTCAACCAAGTACCATCTTAAAGCTCTTATCAAGAGCTACAAGTACTGAAAATTTTGTCCCAGTACCGCTTTTGGTTACCGAGATATCGAGGTTTGAAGATTTGGGAATGAAAATCCAAAGGGGTACCCCTTAGGAAAAAATGCGAAAAATTGAATTTTTTTATTTTTCAGTTTTTCTCAATTTTGACTTTATAAATCGATGGAGCGAACTCGAATTATCCAGAAACACCTCTAACATCGTTTGCATTTGGAAATTTCGATGATAAAAAAAATCCAAAAGAAAATCTCATAAATTCTTGATATGCTCATGAATAATGGCTCATATCTTTGATGTCATTCGAGAAAATTGTATATAATTATATATCATTGGAAAGAGCATTAAATTCTCTATAAGCACGAACAAAATTGGTTTTTGTAGCTGATAGAGTTTCTGAGATATTCAAAGACAAAGTATAAATGTGTAAGTACCCATTATGAGCATATTTTTAATTTCAACGTAATTGTGCCATCTATTAGTCGCTGTCGTTGGTAATCCGTGCCCCATACAGTGAAAACAACATTGAAAAATGCGAAAATGGAAATTTCCCTTCACTTTCGCTTCGAGCGTTAATAGACAGCCCAGAATGATTGATGGCACGTATACACAGTGAAAAGGGGGTGGTTATTGCCGTATACATATACTAGAAATTTTCTTACCGTTATGGACGAGTAACGTTGAATCCCTAGCCAGAGCCAATTCGCTATCGGTCAAAGTAGCGTCTGAAGCGTTTTCCGAAGTCGGAGTGTCGCTCAATCCGGCCGGTTGCTGATATAACGGGTGCTGGTACGCGTGACCGAAACGTCGTCCGGACGGCGACTCTTCACCCTCGGAACCGCTCAGGCTGTAAGCGGGATAAAGACGCCCCTTTCCTGAAAAAAAAAATCACATTTAAAACTTCTAGTGTTCATTAGTATTTGCATAAAGCCAGAGAGAGAGAGGTGTTTAATTTCAGCAGAGTTTCTATTATTATTGTGAAATACGATTTGTTGAGTTTTTCCTAGAGAGTTTACCATCTCCGATTGCGAAAGAAAATTGATCGTATTTTTATGGTGCAATTTGTATAAACCCAATATGCAAGTTATGCAACCAATGGTACACCTTGGCGTTAATTGGCTTGGACTGTTGGGTCACTACAAACTGCACTGGGAAATAAAAATGTCTCAATCAATTAACGGCCAACTGTTTCGTGTCCCATCCGGTTTTCTTGTTCCTCGAATTATTTATTTATCGCTTTGACAATAATTAGTCATGAGAAACAATTACATAAATTGGGAAAAAAAAAAATCGGATAGCCATGAAACGACGAAGAAATCCGGGTGTCTCTTCGCTCTCTCGGTTTTTTGACGCTGCCTGTGGGATCAATACGGGACGTCGGGATTTCGACTGTGGGACCTTGGGAAATGCCACGTTTTACAGAACTGTATTGCAAGTTTTTTTAATTAAAATGTTTCTCTATACTTATATATAATAATCCCTAACTAATAAGGGCATAGAATCTTCCCCTACTAGTATACGAACCAGTTTTCTATTGTGCCAGAGCTTGAATTAATTTTCATGCGGCGGTGATTAGATCGAAATTCGTTGCGATGACAGAAGGGGCCCTTTGGCACCCCACACAGAAAAATCAGGTTACAAATGGGCTTGTTTTGTTACGGAATAGTTGGGATATTTTTCATTTTAATGTAACATATAATATAAAGAGGGAGATGTTATATTATGGGAATATTTGGCAACAGTAAAACAAAAATTCGTCTATCAATCATTTTCAGGCATTTGCAAATCTGCAACGACCAGCAAATACGGAAATTATCGGAGATTTTATGGAAGCGCCCTCGTGTAATTGACATGGCGAAAAATTGAACTATCGAGCGGAATTGAGAAATTCGGGTCACCCATTTTATTTTCCGACGAGACACATTTCAAGTTATGGAATGAACGGTCGGAAAAGTTAAATTTGACTCAAAATTTGGATTATATACAATTACTGGACTTAAATCCATAGATTTAGAGTGAGCATCAATAAGGAAATAGTAAAGGTGCAACACCGGTTTTGACACAAAATCAGCTGACTGATTTTGTGCTAGAACCGGTGTTGCACCTTTACTCTATGCTGAATATTGTTGATTCAAGTGATCCATAAATAATTTATTTCTCGAATGACCAGCGGCATTAAAATCCAAGACGAAGTGGACAAGCAAAGAAAATCAAACGTCGAACAAAAGAATCCGACGTGTGTTCGTGTGTCGCTGCTCTTCTTCTACTCCGGTTTTGGGCAGGCATAAAACATTTTACGGCCATCGTAAATGTTAGCCCGATTGATTGCCGCTTGTAGGTACGCGCTCCTCAAGAGGCAATTTTATTGCCATCTGATTTTTTTCTTGCAGACCTCGGCAATATAATGTTGCATGTTATCGGAAAATCCGAAGCGAAATTCAATTAGGGATCGTGCCTAAATTTTTTATTATAGAGTCACGAAACACCGCACCCGGCCATCTTTGCGCCGGACTCGGGCACAGTGTGTTCTACATTTCCCGATTGAATAATTGAGCGGGCTTCACCTGGAAAAGTTGCACTCTATGATTTTTATATCGAGATGAAACCTCCAAAGGACAAAAACCAAATTTGCCCTAGCACGAATAATCCAGTTGGCACGTACAATGACATTTTTGACATTTAGTGTATTAGCATTTCCTGCAGACAAAAGGGGCCCTTCAACTACGATGGCCCCCTAGGGACTTACGAACGCTGATTGCTTGAGTCTTCCAGGAGTTTCCCTATAGTCTAGTTTTGTTTTGTTCTCATCAATCAGGCATATAACTATCTATAGTCTATTTAAGCCTGCAAACAACTAATGTTTAGGTTCGCCTTTGATTCAAAAAGACTATAGTTTCCAGTAGGACAAGGGCTCATAATTTTTGTATAAGGCAAGAGAGAGAACGTATATCTCGTGTCCGCACGAAACAACAACCAAACAAATATTTTTTTGTTTTCGATCATAAAACAACGGACAGGTTAATTGTTGACCGCGGACGCGTTACCGCTTTAATTTTCTGAAAGAAGCTATTAAAGTTGGGAAAGTTAATTTCCGTTTCCTTTGCACCCTGGCTATATAGGGGGCACACAACTAGACTCTGTTTGCGGCTCGCGTGCACCGAAGGCGAGCTGACATGTTCCGAACATGCACCCGATTTTGATACTTTGCTTTTTGTTCGGTTTGCACGATAATTTACGATCGATTTTAATTGCGTATTTCTAGCTTCGCGCGGTGTGATTTTTTTAAATGTTAGAGGCGTCGATAACGAGGCATTTTCTTTGTTGATTCGTGGAAAGAACAAATACTGATTCAATGTCCATGTTTTCTATTTGGAATGTTGCTGGTGCGTTCTTTGATCCAAAAGGCATGTTTTTGGTATCAAAGTTTGAAGCTTCTTCCGTTGAACAATTATCGGCTATAATTATTGCTAGACTAACAAATTGTTTTAGAATGTTCCTCTATATCGTGAATGATTGTTGGACGTATTTTGGGGCACGTAGTGCTCATAGGTCTCCTGTGGTAGGGGGGTTTCGATTGGAAAATTGTGTATACCAAACTTCCATCCTATACTTCAAGTTTATCCCGAGTAATCTTTGGTCACTCCTGGTTATCTCTAGTTATCCCCAATTACCCCTGGCCATTCCAGTTAGTTATCCCTGGTTATGCCCTAGATGTTATCGGTAATCTTCTAAGTTAAGTATGCTTGCATTTTTTCAGATATCCGCAAGTTATACCTGGTCATCAGCGAATCAAATGCCGATAATATTCAAAATTGGAAGAATTCCAAGCTCTTGATTCCCTCTAGAGAAATTTTCCAACCAATCAAGACTCAAGAGCCGGTGATAATCAAAATTTGACTTATTACTGGGTCTTGAGTCTTTCTAGAATCCTATTCAACGAATTAAACGCCGGTATATTAATCAAAATTTGGCCTATAACTGGCTTTTGAGTCTTTCTGGAAAATTATGCAGCGAATCAAACGTCGGAATCCTAGATTTCTCTGGATCCAATGTTCATTACCATTTGGAATGTCGCAGGTGCGTTCTTTGATCCAAAGGGCATTCTGTTCTAACATCAAACTAATGCCGTTCTTGTATCGAATTTTTATATATTGTTGTACCCGATTATTCCTGACCATTCTCGCTTGGGTATTTCCCGGATATCTGCTGTTATCTCTAGTTATCCCTTAACTATTTGCTGGAATGCAATCCCATATATATCATAATACACCAAACTTCCTTCCTACTTTAAGTTTATCCTGAGTAATCTCTAGTGACTCCTGGTTATCGCTAGTTATCCCCGATTATCCCTGGCCATCCCAGTTGGTTATCCCTAGTTATTCCCTAAATATTCTCTGTTATCTTCGGTTATCGGTAATTTTTCAAGTTTAGTATGCTTGCATTTTTCCAGATACCCGTTATTTATACCTGGTTATCATTTGGTTATCCTTTGATTATCATCAGTTATCCTCGGAGACCCAAGTTATCCCCGGTTATCCCTGGCCATGTATACCAAATATTCTCGAAAATTTCGACTATTATCGGCTCTTGATTCCCTCTAGAATATCATCCAACAAATCAAATGCGAGATAGGTCTATTGACAAAGGTGAACGACATTTCTACCGTCAGCTGGCACACAAATCATGAGTGACATGACTTTTAAGTGTCACTATTGAATAGAGAACAAACGGAGCAATCCGGTAATTAATGGAACCAATGATGGAACCGGATGCAGAACTAAATCTGGTACTGAGTTCAGCAACCGAACAGAGTACGAGCAGCATGTGGTACATACTTCCAAAACGGATCACGATTTGGGAAACATTATCCAAGAATATGAGAAAATGGAATTAAAATCGGGAAAAATCATTAGTCGTCACAAGTGAAAATAGAATTTGAATATTGAAGATTAGAAAATTTACAGGATCTGCAATTACTGCAATTAATGTCGAATTCCCATAAAGGAGAAAAATGTAAATAAAGCCCAATAGAATCAGGGAAAAATTAAATACCTATAGGAATTTTGCATGGAAAACTGAAAATAATTGTGAAATAGTTAAAGGCAACTTTGGCACGTTACAACCCTCCCACTCTTACGATAGGGGGGAAAGTCACAAAGAAACTTTCCGACGATAATCTAAGCAAACTCGAGAACTAGGATAATATAAAGAATATCAAATGATACATAGCTATACAGGTCCGTATACAGCTATACCTAGACCTGTATAGCTGTTTACACACTTGTCTCTAGAATGGTCCGAGGGTTCGATTCCCCAACCAAACTTTTTTAAATACGGAAATTATTTCGAGTGACTGACGGCTGGCGACTAAAGGCTACCGAGTGGTGACCTCAAACTCAAAAAAGTGCAGATTGACCCTTAGATTTTCTTATGGAAATTTACATGGGAAAATGGGTGAAAGTTCCTTATGCAAAAAAAAAATAAGGGTGCGAAAACTAAATAGGTCTTATCGTGTTTTATTGTCGCCCGCGCGAGAAATGAGAAATAATAACACTCGACAAAAAGGAAAATTTCCATGCAAATTGCCGACTTCCCCTCCCCACTGAAATTGGTCTTTTTTTTTTTATCGGGGACCATTACCTTTTGCTCTTTTTCATCCGCTAAGAAAAATACGCTTCGCACCCCCCTATACCTTGCATCGGGGCCAATTTTCAAATTGGGGTTCAGTCGACGTTGTATTGCACACCCCTTCTGGAAAACTTCAGTTTATATATAAATTAAGATGGGGAGTTTTTTCGTAGGTGGCAACTTAGAAATTAAATCGATTGTGGGATACATATCACCCAGTATATCCAATATATTACATGATAAAAAG